TGTAGTTTGGGCTGTGCCCTGGAGGTTTTGCAGCTGTTTGGTGAAGGGCAGTGTAGGGTGGGGAGCTGGCTGTGGTCCCTGCTTTCTCAGGAGAGAACTGAACAGAAGGACGGGGTGCTGTTCTTCCCTGGGGCTTGAGTTATAACCGTGGTGCGGTTTCAGCAGTGTCTTGGTTCAGCTCCGTGACGATGTCTTGTGCAGTCTCATAGATGTGAAGGAAATAAGTGGGTGCCTCATGAAGGTTCCAGCAGAGTTCCAGAAATGACGTTCTCGGTGGACTGTGCAGAGTGGTGGTAGAGGGAACTGGACGCGCCCTGGAGACGAGCTCCTTGGAGCCTTTGTTCCATGCCGACAGCTTTGTGCACAGGATGCCAGCACTCTGGGAGGGCGAGCTGCATGAGTGTCACCAGTGTGGTGCAGTCTGTCCCGTCCTGTCCTGAGCACCCAGACTGATTCTAGAGCCACCTGCATTTTCCTTGGATGCCATGTGGTGGGTGGGTGGGTGGTTCTCCTTGTCTTACTTCTTAAAAACTCACTCTGTCCAGAAGCGCCCTGGGCATTTCTGAGGCAGAAGCTCTGAGATGCTGCTGCTCACACGTCTGCCCAGAGTGATTGCTGCTGGCTTTGAAGACTTCTGAAGCTCACTGCTGGATCTGCGCAACTCCTGTCTCCCAGGGGACAGCACGCCGTCTGCTCAGCGGGTCTGTTTCATGTGGGTGATAATGATTAACTGGGGTGCTTGGTGAAGCAGGCACAGGAGTTCCAGAGAAGCGTTTACTATCAGAGTAAGCAGTTATGCAAGAAAAGATTATCAACTGTAAGGACATGCACAGTCTTTATGGGCATGTGTCTTCTGGGAGGGGAGAAAAACGGTGCGGGGGTACTTAGTAGAAGGAAGCCCTCACATCTGTTGTGACTTGAAAAAAACCCAGACCTCCTTTGGTGGCCCAGTGACTGAGGAGGCCGAGACTGGAGGATTGCAAGTTTTGCCTTGGCAGTTTGGTGAGGCTTCAAGCAACTTATCAAGAACCTCTCAAAATAAAAGTTAAAAGATCTAGGGGATGTGGCTCAGTGATTAAGCACCCGGATTCAATCCTTGGTACCAAAAAATGAAAGGAAACTTTTAAACAAATTGAATCTGGCAGGTGTATCAGTTTCCATGGGTTGCTGGAACAAATCCCTCCAGACTTGAAACAACAGAGATTTGTGACCTCAGTTGAGTCCAGAGGAGCCAAATCTGGGGGGTCGGCAGGAGAGTGGCCACGCTTCTCTCTGGCCAGGGGCTGTCTCTGGCACAGACCCCGGTCCCAGACGTGTCTTGGTGCGACTCTACCTGCCTCTCTGCACCTTCACCTGTCCTGATTCCTAGTGCAGGATCATCTTGGCTCAGATTGGTATCTTTATCACACCTGCGAGACCTTTCCCAAGCCAGGTCACATGCTGAGGTTCTGGGAGGGTAGAGGTTCAGCCCACCGCCTGTCCCGGGCTCCCACTTCCAATTCAGTCTGCCCCAAGGGAAAGAGACGTTCACACCAATCAATTATTAATTAGCAGTACTTTGAGGAAGAAGGAATTTTGAAAGGTGAGGGCTGAGTTTTTGGGATTATAAATGACAAAAAGCAGAAGAGGGTCGTTCATTTTATGTTCACTGTGCTTTTTATTTTGAGGTGGTTGTAGATTCACACACAGCCTCTCTGAGCCTCCCCGCTTCACTGTGTGGGCTTTAAGACAGGTCCCCTTGTCCCTCACCCCACTAGCCACCAGGTCCTTTGTGTTCCTGCAGCTCTGTCACATGTAGGGTAGTAGGGGTGGCGCGGTATTCTTTTCTTCCTTCCTTCTGTCCCTGCCTGACTGGAGATTCCAGGTGGTCGAGACCACCGGCAGCTTCCTGCTGGGGCGCAGGGGGAGGGCCTCTGGGCAGCCCTTGCTCGCAGAGCTCCCCGGGTGCTCCTGCACACATCCGAGTGCTCCTGCACACCCCTGTGGCCTGGTGCTCCTTCACTGGATGAGGCCCAGGAGTAGGGTGCTGGCTCCTGTGGCAGGTGCGTGTTTGTGCACCACTGCGTGAGGTGTGCAGAGGGCCCTGCTGCTGTATGAGGCCAGTCAGGCCAGGTGCAAGGCCCACAGGTGCTCTGCTGCTCATGAGCTGCTCCTGGACCCGCCATGCCAGTTGGAATACTTGTGTGGGTCTAAACAAGAGTTAGCCAGCAGCACTTCAGTTTCACAGATTAGTCAAAGATGGTCATGACGTTCAAAGCATGACTGCCTTCTCTCTCTCTCTCTCTCTCATGGTGGATGAGCCCTGATAATTTGTGATAGCTTCCAAAGTGGCGAATTCTCTGTCCTTCATACAGTAACATGGTCTTTGTAGCTTTGGGGGTTGTTTTCTGTGGTCCCCTGTGGTTCAGACCCCCTTCCCCCGGTACTGGGGATGGAAGGCAGATGTGTTTGACCACTGAGCCTCATCCCCCAGAGCTCATGATCCTCCTGCCTCAGCGTCGCAAGCACCTGGGATTACAGAGTGTGCGACTGTGCTTGGCTTTTTCCTTAACGTTTTGGGGTTTGGTGCCCTGGATGTGTTGGTGAATGATAGGTATGGCAGAATCTAGCAGGAAACACAGAAGGAGTTGGGGCTGTTATGGAGGACTTGAGCCCTTCTCTTCAAAAGTTGTGAGGAGTAAGTAGTACATTGAGTTTTCCCTTTATGGTATTGGGGATTGAACCCAGGGGTGCTCTGCCACAGGGCTGCACCCTGGCCCTTTTTATTTGAGAAAGGTGTTGTTAAGTTGCTAAGGCTGGCCTTGAACTTGTGATCCTCCTGCCTCAGCCTCCCGAGTCACTGGAATTAACAGGCATGTGCCACTGTGCCCAGCTATAAATTGAGTTTTCAAAGATAGTGAAGGAAACCATCTCTCCAGGACACACAGTGGCTGTTGGGTACCTGCTCTTGTCCCTCGCACCTGCTGGAGGAGAACTAAAGAGGAAGTGCTGGGATTACAGGTGTGCACCAAAGCCCCATCCCCCCCAACCCCCAGTTAGTTACACATGATAGCAGAATGCGTTTCATTTCATGTACACAAATGGAGCACAACTTTTCATTTCTCTGGTTGGACATGATGCAGAGCTGCACCATTTGTGCAGTCACACATGTACCTAGGGCAGTGATGATTGTCTCGTTCCACCATGTCACCTACCCTGTGCCCCTCCCCACACAGGATTAGGGCAAAGGGGACCTGGCGTGAAGGAGACACCCAGGTGGGCAGTGGGTAAAGACAGAGTTGCTGTTACGTCTGCTTATTAGCCCAGTCTTAAAGCGCACGCCCAGGTCATGCCTGGCTAGGGACACTGAGCTGCAACATTAGGGGGACAGCTTTTCTGCCTGCTTGTTGGTGGGATTGCCGCTCATATTAGCAACATTTAGTGGGTTTAACTGAAGAGTAAAAACGCCATGACCCGAAAGGCCATTTAGGAATCACTGGCACCACGAATGCCTTCTTCATTTTTGTTCTCCGGGCTTCTCAGTGGAATCCCCCCCTCATTTTTTAATTGGCGATTTGTAGTCACACGTTATGGTAGGATTTGTTGTTACATATTTGTTCATGAACACAGTAACAGTATCATTCCTCAGCACTTCCCTTTCGCTCCCTGCCTCCCTCCCCTGGCCTCTTCATCTGCTCCAGTGTCTCCCTTTAGTTTTACGAGGGGCACCCCCACCCCCCACTTTCTTTTGGGTTCTCTGCTAGTAGAGGCTACAGGTACACACTATTCTCCGACCACCTGAGAACGTAGGACACAGTTGCCAGTTAGGAAAAGGAAATTATTGGCAGAAGATTTTTAAAAACTTGGTTTATAATTGTTTTTGGATGAAAGTCACCTTCGAGTTTTACCTTCTGAGATTTGGTGCAGTGGGGGGGGGGGGTCAGGTATGCAGTCCCAAAGTCGTAAGTAATTTAAAATGCTCATCTGTATTAATATGAAGAAGAGTCACGCAAGCTAAGGAAATCACCCACAAATAATTAACAAGTGCCACCACATGTTACTGTTCCTCCAAGATTCTTCCAAGGTCTGTGTCACTGCTTGTACAACAGGGTACATTGTGTAAGACAGTTTTATTTTCATACTGCAACAGGAGTGGCCAATTTCCTTATGCTCAAAAGCTTTTGTAAGAATTGTAACTTTAAAAAATCCTTCTAAGGTTGAACCTCAAATACCTCTAAATATGCTGATTTTGCATCTGTTGTAATTAGGTCAACCAGTTCCACAAGGAGCCTTGAGTTATGGCTTCCAGAATTTTTGTAATATAGACATTTTATAATTAAACTTTGTATCAAATGAAAAAAAGAAACGAGTTGATTGAATGAGCCCTTCAGTACCTCCTTGCTTTGAATTCACTTTTTATGGCCCTCTCTGCACACTGCCTGCAGTATTGGGAGGGACAGGCAGATGTGTGCGTCCCCAGGCGCAGCTCAGAGCCCACAGGCTGCTCACTGGGAGCTAGTGTCCAGGTGGTTGAGACGCTCTGGGCTCCTTGGGCATGGGTGATGCTTGTGGCACACGTCTGTGGAAAGGCCCTGGCTTGCCACTGGGTGGCATCTGTGGCTAGAGAGAGAGCAAAAGTGGCCCGCAGAAGAAGAGCGAGGGCACCATCCCAGCCCTCCACTGGCTGGCTTTGAGGCTGGCTAGGCCTGCGAGTGCAGGGACAGAGGATGTCCCACAGGTGCCCAGGCCCCTCATCCTGTCAGCACATCAGGGCCCACTTTCTGCTGCCTTGTTGGTGGCCTGTGGTGGCCTTGGGGAGAGTATTTATGGGAGAGGAGGCAGAACCTGTCTGCTCCATCTTGCACCATGGAACCCGAGTGCAGGGCCTGCAGGGAGGAGAGGGCTGGCCTCTGGGCAGCCACAGCCTGGGCCTTTCTGCTCTCTGTGGAGATGCAGCCCAGCAACTGCTCTTCCTGCCTGCACGCTGCCCCTGACCCCCACGTGCTCTCTCTCTCCTGCAGTCTTCGGTTTGTGCCAAGATCGTGCAGCTCCTGGGGCAGAACGAGGTGGACTACCACCAGAAGCAGGTGGTCATCCTGAGCCAGGACAGCTTCTACCGTGTCCTTACGTCGGAGCAGAAGGCCAAAGCCCTGAAGGGACAGTTCAATTTTGATCACCCAGGTGAGTCAGGAGGGCGGGGAGGTGGCTCAGTGCTGCCAGGGGAGGGTGCTGCCCTCTGGGCTTCCCCTGGTTGAACGGGGACTCGAGAACTGCCCTGCAGGGCTGTTGTGGGCTTCTGGGGAAGAAGCACCAAGGTGACAGTTGGGAAGCATTTGGGAAGACACTGATGTTGTGCCTGGCTCGTGACACACTGTCACTCTGATGGATGTCTGGGGACCTGTGAGAGCCTGGGCCTCAGGTGGGCCAGCCCCGAATGACCCGACAGTGGGTCCTCATACCACTGCCAAGCTGCAGCAGCCTGCGCTGCACCTGTCACCCGCCACCCGTGGGCACCGCAGGTGTCCAGCTCATCGGCTGGCACACAGGCTCAGGGTGGCTGCCTGGGTGTGTCTTGCACTCAGTGGTCTAGCTAGGCACAGGGCTCCTGGTGTCCGTAGTCATTGGCCTCCTGGCGAGCATGTGCCAGTCCCAGGCCAGGGCTGAACTCGGGGTGGGGAGGATGGTGCAGGCCTGGGATGCATATCAGGGGCAGAGACCTGCGGTCAGCTCACTTGGCTGGCCTGAGGCCAGGCAGCTTTCACGTCCACCTGGGGCCTGGAGTGCATGGTCATGGGAGGAATTAACTTAAATCAAGACGTTCTGGCGGTTTGACTTCCTTCAGATGCCTTTGACAATGAACTCATTTTGAAGACTCTCAAAGAAATCACTGAAGGGAAAACAGTCCAGATTCCCGTGTATGACTTCGTCTCCCATTCTCGGTAAGTGGGCACCCGCCACCCAGAGCAGCCTGGGACTGCACTCCCACCCCGTCCTCCACCCTGCCGCTGCCAGTGGAGGGACGATATGGCCCTGTGCCCTGGCTGCCTGTGGGGGGCGTTCCTGGATGGTCAGGCGGGCATGCTCCATGGTGCTTGGGTAGGGCTGCACACGTGTTCTGGCTCCACACCCCAAGCTGTTCCTGAAACAGGATGTAAGGAGTTACAGTGGAGGAAGGGCAGGAGGAACAAAGAGCCCTTCTTCCTGCTCTCCTGCTGACTTGGGATTGGACCGTGGAGGGGTGTGGGGGTTGGAGGTTGCCAGGTGCAGGTCTTAGGATCAATCAGACACTCTAGGAGGCCTGTCAGCCCAGGCCAAACAGTTCCTCAGCACAGCTTTACTCTTGGTGGCCCTGACTAGGAACAGATGCTGGCTGGGTAATGTGTCCTCCTCCCTCTGAGTGTTGGGAACGGGCTCCTGGGGAGTTCCCTCCTGCTACCTGATGCCGGGCACCTTTGGCCCTTGTAGGACTCTCTACTCACTCTGACCCAGATTTCACATGGCAGCTCTGGGGACGTCCCAGCCGATGCTGACCTGGAGAGCACACTGCACCTGCGTGGCTCCTCTGTGCTCTGGGCTCCTCGCGGCCCTCTGGAGTTTCAGCTGGGTGCTGTGCGTGCCCTCCTGTCTACTTTTCATTCTTCCATCCTGGCTCTTCTCTCCCATTCTCTCTTGAGTTGAAGTGTTGATAGGAAATTAGAACTCATCTATTACCAGATGTCCCTGTAATCATGAACCAGCCGTCTCTGCGAGCTCTGTGCCTGCGCAGCTCAGCCTTAACGCAGTGTGTGCCCAGCCTGCACCTCTCTCAGGTGCCTTAGGCATGACAAGGAACTGTCCGAGGAGGAAGCCAAGAGGGAGGGCATGGGGCTCTAGATGCAGGCAGCCAGGAGTCGCCATGAGGGAGGTGCCCAGCCCAGGACGCCAGGCATCATGCCCCCGTGTCAGCCGGCGACCCTCCCAGATGATACAGGAATAAAGGGGTTCAGTGTAGGAGTTGCAGCTGATCTGAATGTTGGGGCTGGTAAGTGCAGCCAGAGAGTGAGGGCAAACATCAGTGTCCAGCCTGACCCCTGCACCAGCACACCTTGTCCAGCTCCCAGCCCCTGGTGACGCTGAGAGGTGTTCTCAGTGATCTGGCCTCAGCACCATGCTCTCCTGAGCACTGTGGATTCTGCTTCACGGTCGCCTTCCAAGTGTTCATGGCAGAGTAGCCTGGATCCACAGCAGGAGGGCATCCTGGGAGTTAGTTCCACCAACTAACTAACTAGTAAGGTGTGGTAAGCTGGTGACCGAGTCCGCCCCTGCCCAAGCTCAGGAGGAGGCATTGCAGTGTGGTCCCTGAGGGGAGGCTGGGCACCTCCAGCAGTTGCGTAGAGCAGCCGTATGTTGGGGAGAGGTTGTTGGCAAGAGATTTCCAAGGTGACAGTTGGGAAGCATTTCAGGGATCGTGTTCTGTGCACACAGACAGCTGGGGAGCAGGAGGGATGGGTAGGTGTGTGTGAGCGGCTGAACGAGGAGGCAGGAGCCAGGTAGGCCTCAGGTCCTAGTCCTGCAGGGCATGGATGTCAGGCCAAGGAGCACAGATGAGCTAGCAGCGGGGGCCCCAGGAGCTCCACTGTGCAGGAAGGCCATTCTGGAGCAGGTGCTGCCCAGGAAGAGGCCTGTGCCGCACCTACCAAGGCAGTGGACGGGGGTCTTTTTTTTTTCCTTGGTACCAGGTATTGAACCCAGGGAAGCTAACAACTGAGCCAAATCCCCACCCCCTTGTTAATGTTTTATTTAGAGACAGGTTCTCACTGAGTTGCTTAGTGCCTTATTTTTGCTGAGGCTGGCTTTGAACCCGTGATCCTCCTGCCTCACCCTCCTGAGCTGCTGGGATTATAGGTGTGCGTCTTCGCACCTGGTGGAGTGAGGGTCTTGATGGAGAGAGGCTCCGATCACTGCAGATCTTTGGCGGTGGAAGAAGCGGAGTACTTCTGCAGGAGAGTTCTGTCAAGTTCATGTGTGGACAGTGGCTGCCCTGGTAGAACTCCCAGGACAGATGCCTTTTATTTTAAACCTCTTCTAGTGACGCAACACTAGTTTTGCGCCTGAGTCTGTGGAGGGCAGGAACTTGCCCAGGGCAGGGGCTGCGACCGCGATCCCCCAGCTGACCTGTCTCCTCTGCTTTGCAGGAAAGAGGAGACGGTCACTGTCTATCCCGCGGATGTGGTGCTCTTCGAAGGGATCCTGGCCTTCTATTCCCAGGAGGTTCGAGACCTGTTCCAGATGAAACTTTTTGTGGATACAGATGCAGACACCCGGCTCTCCCGAAGAGGTGTGTTCCAAAAGCCCTGTTGGTGGCCACCTTGGGGACAGGGGACCTGAGAGTCCATGAGTGGCCCTCCCCACCCCCCTGCCTGAGTCAGAAGTCTGGGCCTTCCCAGGGTAGGCTTGTGTCCACATGGCCGAGCCTAGCTACGTCAGTCCAACCCCAGGGTGTCTTGCCGCCCAAACACTTGGTGACATTTGAGAAGGGGTTAGTCACTGGCTGTTTTGGATGAGACAGGCTGTGAGGTCACTGAGTTGAAACCAGAAGTCCGCCTGCTTGTCATACCAGGGAAAGGTGCCTAAACACTAGTTCCTTGTGGTCCCTAAAGCCCCCTAATGGATGTCTCGACCTTGGCTCAGCCACAGGCCAGGGAGATGGGAGAACCTGTCCCCACAGCTCCGGGTGACCCTCCCACCACTGCCCCTCCAGCTTTGCCAGTTTTTCCAGATGGCGCCAAGCAGGCTCTGCTGAGGCTGTGCCCACAGCCAGAGGTGCAGAGGTCTCTGGTGGGGCCGAGCTCTGGAGGGTGTGGTCCACTAGGGGCCTGGGACCTTGATGGGGTTGTTGATGGCAGAGGTGACCCAGGAAGGTGCAGGGCAGGTGAATGGGGGCCACTGCAGGCCCAGGACTTGGTGTGGCTGCTGGCGGGCGGGGACAGCAGGGGAGTGGAGCTCTGCTGCTCTCTGTTGGACGGTCATTCTGACAGGAAACAGCTGCAGGCGGTTGGGAGGCCACCTGTGGATCTGGACTGAGGCAGGCTATCACGGAGGTGGTGGGAGAGGGGACAAGAGAAGGTACTAGCAGAGCAGGAATTGGGATGGTGATGGACAGGTGGCGGGGAGGGGAATGAAAGGTGACCAAGTCTGCGTCCCTGTTGTGTGCAAGAGGAGAGGGGGCAGCGAGGGCGGCTGCTTGGCCAGGGCAGTCTAGCCATGGATCCCGGGTCTGGGTCCATCGGAAGGAGTGGTCTCATTGTCAGAGCTGTTGGTGGAACCGCTGGGCCTTGGGGAAACATGGAGAAACCACCAGGTGGGCCCTTCTGAGGGGCAGTACCACCACATAGTTGGAGCCCCACTTCTGCCCCTGGCTGGGAGGGACGCAGAACACCACGTGACAAGAGAAGAGCAGGATGGGAACCTGTGCTTGGTCCCAGCAGAGTTCCAGCCTGTTTTGTGGCTTCGGCAGCTCTTGGGACACCCCAGGCATTGGTGTCCTTGTGGGAACTGTGGGACAGGCCTGCTGTTAGCAGTGCGGTTCTGTTTGGGTAGGGTTGTGTGGCTCTGTGGGTAGGTAACGGGAGCCCCAGCCCAACCTCCACCCCTCGATTCTGCTTCACCAGCCTGGGCCCCCCTCGCCTGCTGTGGGTACTCCTGCCGGGACCAGTGAGGCAGCTTGGGGTACAGAGCGGATACACTTTGGAGTCAGGAGTGAGTGGTCCTGGGCTCTTCTTCCTATCGGAGGATCATCTTGGATGAGCACCCCAAGTATCATGAGGATTAGTGGTTCCGTGGGGGTGGCCCATGGTTTGTTAGTTGAGGCCTGTGTGGCAGATAGAAGCCCCTGTGTTCGGGTGGCTGGGGCGCTTTCTCTGGGCTCTCTGTAGGACTGCAGGGGCCACATCCTGGGAGCTGGCACCACTGGACTGATGTGGTCACTGCTGCTGGGCCTCACTCAGCCGGGAGTGCAGGGTGTTGGGGAAGGAAGCAGGGGAGGGGATCGGGAGGGACCCAGCAGGCCCTCACTGTGCGGGCTAAGCTCCCGTGTCCTCTTCTGGCATGAGATCCCCATGAGGAGTGGAGAACCCCCTCGCTGGAGGCCTCGGGCCCAGCTCTGCTGACCCGTGCCCCCTGACGCTGCAGTTGCTCGCTGTCGAGGCTGTTTCCTTCTTACCTGGTGGCCTTCTCCACGCTCCACCCTGAGCCTCCATTCTCTCCATATGGGACACACACAGGGCCTGGCATGGGTGTGGGGGGGCACCGGGTACTGAGGAAGAGGGAGGGATGAGCAGCAGCAGCTGTGGGGCTCGAGCACTCCAGCCCCCTCCTCGCCACGCCCCGCCGCGCACATGATCCCGTGCTGAGTCAGCCCTGGTGGGGGTTCTGCCTTGGAGAGGTGCTCCTGTACTCAGCACGTGGCTTCCAGGTACTCCCTATTTCACAAGCTCCTCACCTTGCTCACCCGGAGTACAGGGCAGGGGGCACATGGGCAGGGCGAGCAGGGCTGCTAATGCCCCTCCAGCCACCTCACTCAGGTAGGGAGGCAGGGTCTGTGGGATGTGCAGTCTGTTCTTTCACTATGGGTGACACAGCTCCTCAGCCACTTGCTGATGTGAGTCCACGTGACCAGCGAGGGATTGTCCTTGTCGTGGCTCCTCCTGAATTCCTCTTGGCTTTATCAGGCCAGGAATAGCAGTGCTGGGTTGGAAGGGCAGAAGTGAGGAGGCCAGGCAAGGATCATGGGCAGACTTGTCACTTCCTGAGCTTGACCCCGACCTCTCAAAGGGCCTGTCCTGGCCCAGCAAATGGGTGGGCTTCAGACTGTGGACAGCTGCCAGTTATGAGTCCCAGGAGTTCTGGTTTGTGCCAAGACCTTGCTCTGACTCAGCCCGTGGCGTGTCCTGTTTCTGGCTGTGTCAAGGGGCAGGCTTCTCATTGCAGTGGGCGGTGCCTGCGGGGTCTCTGGCTGCAGAGTTGGGCCGGGCCTTCTGGTCTGCAGGGTTCCTGTGCCAGGACAGCCTTCTGGCCGCTTTCCTGAGGCACGGTCCCTCTCTTCCTCTCCGTTCCCCCTCCCTCCCTGTCCCTCCCTCTTCATGTGACTCTAATGCACATCTGCTTTCTGCATGACCAGGCACTTCTCGAGCCCAGTGGATGAGCATCCGGGTCTGTAGGACACAGGGAGCCAGGACCTAGTGGGGCGGAGGAGGCTATGTGTGGGGTGTCCTGGCCATACAGGAGCTCAGGCCTCCCACAGTGCGGAAGCCATGCGCATCCTCTGTTGCGAAACAGAGCCCGCACCAGGGCTGTGGGGAGCCCCGGCCTCCTGGGTGCCAGGGTACTCGCTCTCCTCCAGTCTGACGCCCCTTTGATCAGGCTTCCTTTACTGTGGGCTTTATCTGGGGACTTGCCGCAAGGCTGGACAAAGCTGCTTCCTGGCAGGAGGCAGTGGGCTCTGTGGACAGGCAGAGTGGGTGTGAGGCAAGTCCTGGCTCACTGGGGACCACAGACTTTGCATAACCAGAGCTGGTATGAAAGCCAGCTGCCCCTGTGGGGTGGCTCTGGGAGGCAGGCTTCCTGTCCTGGGAGGCGGGATCAGAGCCACTCCATTCCTTCCTGGTCCAAACCTGCGAGTGTAAGCAGAGTGATTGTTCCCACACGGCTTTCCAGAAGTCCACCCTCAGATCCTGCCTGTGTGCGTTTGGTGCGTCTCACCCACACTCGAGCCGTTACTTGAGAAATGTGGGAGAAGGAGCCGAGGGCCCCTTACAGTTGATGGTGGGTGGGGTGGCAACCTTGGGCTTGGCTGGAACACACAGCAGCTGGGCAGCAGGATCCCAAGCCACGGAGGGCCGTGTTGGTGAGGGAACCTTCTGGGCTCACTGCCTAAGGGGCGGAGGCTGAAGGAGGTCGGGGTGCAGTGGCAGAGCCAGGGCTACCGGCCCCCTTTCTGTTTTTTGACAAAGGAATTAACAAAGTGGCGAAAGTCCCTGAATGAAATGGACTAGGCGAGGATAGTGGTGGCCGAGTCTTGTGCCACCTGGGTTGCTTCTCTGCCCCGGGCCACTGTGTCCTTTCAATAAAGACAGTCCTTCAGTTTGCAAACCTCTATGCCTGAAGTGGGCAAGGCCTCCCTGCCCAGGTGGCTGTGGGCAGCCAAAAAATGAACTCACCTGACCTGCTATAGGGGGTTGCTGGACTTCCAGACAAGACGAGTGGGAAGGGTGCGTGGAGCCACCACCTGCCTGGGTCCTGGTTGCAGCCTGTGACCCTCAGCCCTCAGGGCCGTGCTGGGTGTGCAGTTCACATTGGAGTCTGGTTTGGGCCCGCTGTGGGCTGACACAGGAACGCTGCGGGCTCTGGGCCAGGCAGTCTTCTGTTTCCCGCGATATTTTTGGTGAAATCCGGGGACGCATAACTTGTTTCTTTGAAGCTGCTGCTGCCCTGTTCTCACAGGTGAGGAACCAGCTTGTGGCCTGCGGGAGTGAAGGGAGCCCAGGGCCTGCTCTCCCGCGGGCAGATGCCTGGTGGCCCCCACACTGTTTTATTGATCCTTGTTTTTCTTCTCTTATAGTACTGAGGGACATCAGCGAAAGAGGGAGGGACCTTGAACAGATTTTGTCTCAGTATATCACGTTCGTCAAGCCTGCCTTTGAGGAATTCTGCTTGCCAGTGAGTTGCATTGTGGCTTGTTTTGTTGGATGTACACTTAATTTTGTGGTGCACTAAAGGTATGCAAGTCGCTGCAGTCCCCAGCTCGAATCTCCTTCCTGTCTCCGAGCATCTCCACCCTGAAGTCCCAAGAGAGGGCCGCCTTAGGTGCTTGGTGTCCTGTGTGTTCCTGGGAGCTCCGTCCTTCTGTCCTTCCTCTGAGAGCCAGTGAGGGCCATGTAGGCCTCCTGCTGGCTCTGTAGGTTCTCAAGTTCTGCACTTCGTGCGAGGTTGTGTGGCTGTCAGGTCCAAGGGTGGTCCCTAGCCTGCCGCAGGGTGGCCCTCTCAGCCTCCTCTTGTGCCCTCCAGTCCTGCCAGGCAGCTGGGAATGCTGAGGTGAGACATTGTGGAGACAAGGAAGGGGGTCGAGGGCCTTGGAAGCCAGCCCTCAGCCTGGGGCACACTGTGCTTCCTTGGGGACCCAGAGAGGCCTGCTGGGAGCCTGCTGGAGACTGGGGCGTGACCCAGGGTGGCTGAACCCTGGCTGAGCCCCTGGTGATTCATGACTGAGCCCCAGCGGGAGGAGGTGGAGGCTGGTGAGGGAGTTAGGGAGGTCTTTTGGGGACTGCAGTCTGGAGAGTCCTTGAGCAGGGTGGGAGTAAGCCTGGGCCTGGGCATTCCTCGGCCTGTCCTGGTGATCAGCTTCTTTCTCCTCTCCTGGGAAGCTGTCTTCCCAGCCTGTCTCTTGAAGTCTGTTGGTAGATCTTACATCAGGTTGGACTTGACTCGTTTCCAGCCAGCACAGGTGGGCTTTCTAAGCTGGCCTGAGCAGCCTTGCCACCTGTCCGTCAGCCGAGGGGACGCAGGAGCTGTGCAAAGCTTTGTGTCCATTCAGCTGTCCAAGGCCCTTCTTGCTCTAAACTCAATAATAAAAACCCAGAGTGACCTCATTGTCAGACACCACTTTGCCATTAACCTAGTTGGAATGGAGTGCAAGATTCTGGACAAATGCTTTTTGGGTTGTTGCTGCTTATTCCCACTGTCAGCCCCACTTTGCTCAGGAAAGACCAACTTGTTCCTCCGCAAGCCGGGGACTGAGACCTGTCTGGATTGGCCTTGGGCCTGGCAGGACTGTGTGCCAGCGCCTGGCGTGGAAGTTCACCGTGAGGCTGCTCACACGGCAGGCGCGTGTGTGGCCTGGGCAGGCGCAGAGTGTGCCTACAGAGCCAGGGAAGCTGGTCGGGGGCCACGGGCCTTTTCTGGCCTTTCCTGGGCTGGGATAAGTCCCGTCACCTTCAGACTGTGTCAGAGTCCAGATGGCCTGGCCCCCCTTGAGCCCGGTGGTTCTTGTTCCTCTCTTTCCTAGTGTTAGGGCCCTTGTGTGCCTGGCCCACGTTCTGTGCAGGTCATGGTACAGACTGGTGGGCTAGCCCAGGAACTAAGAGGCCCCTGGTTTGCTGGAACGTGGATGGAGTGCATCCAGGTCAGGCGCCTGATGAGCAGTCGGATCGTGGGTTGCTTTGAGGTGCCGCCCAGTCGGGACCAGTGCCCTCACTGACACGGAACACCTTCGCCCTGTTCCTCTTGCCCTTGCCTGCTCCCTTCCTCCCTGGCTCTGAGGAAGGCTGGCCCTTGTTCCTGGGGAGGGGCTGGTCCCTGCACTCTGAGCCCCTCTGTTAACACACTCTGCATGTCTTTCTTCACAGACCAAGAAGTATGCCGATGTGATAATTCCTAGAGGTGCAGACAACCTCGGTGAGTCCCTGCGGGTGCTTCACCCCTGCGGCTGCCAGCCACAGGCGGGGCGGGGTGTGGTGGCATGGGCTCTGTGCTCTACGATGGGAGCAGAGGCATTCCTTCTGCAGCCCTGTCTTGGGATCATGCCCTGAGTGGTGTGCAGTGTGTGAGGGCAGTCAAGGGCTGTGCCCTTGGAGGAGCCGTGGCCTTCTGCTAGTGCCCAGGGTGACCCCTGGGTGCCTCGCCACCTGACTGCACAGCAGGCCGCCTCCTCAGTGTGACGCAGAGGATCTGCTCTCGTGAGTGCCCGCAGAACACAGCCGGCTAGACCCCTGGGTGCTGTGTGCGGGTGCTGGCTCGCCTGGGAGCCCACCCAGCTCCTGACTTGGCGTCTGTGGCAGAGTTGGTCTGTCAGATAGGACCCTGTCTTCTCTTTTCTTCATTTGTCCTCCATTTAAAACGTTGATTGCCAGGTGCAGTGGTGTACGTCTGTGATCCCAGTGACTTGGGAGACCAAGGCAGAAGGTCTGCAAGTTCCTGGCCAGTCCAGGTAGCTCAGCAAGACCTTGCCTTACAATTAAAAACAAAACAACAACAACAACAAAATGGTGGTGCTGCTCAGTGGTAAGAGTGCTTGCTTCACGTGTGGGCGGCCCTGGTTCAGTCCCGAGCAGCGCACTCACACAGTTGGCTGAGTGGATGGGGAATTTGTCATGGTGACCCTTTTTTTTTTTTTTGTAAAGCAGTACTGAGGACTGTGCCCCAGGTCCTCCGCATGCTAGGCAAGCAAGTGCTCTGCACTGAGGTGTACCCCCAAGCACCACCGCTCCCTGTAAATTCTGAGACAGGGTCTCACTGAGTTGCCCAGGCTGGCCTCGAATAAAGTACAGACCCCAAAGGATGGACCCATGGATTCGGCTCAGGCTCTCGAGACCCACTCATTTCATCTCCAGGCTCCCTTGCATTGTCTCACACAGCTTTTGGGGGAGACCTTGTATCCACATCACAGCCCTGGAATTAGAGGTGTGGGCCACCATGCCTGGCATCACCACGCGGCGAAGAATGAGGACATTCTGACCCACAGGCACAGTACGGTCACCGTGTTCAGGAGAAGCAACATTGACATGATCTCTAGCCAGCAGAGGCTCCTCAGCCTGTCTCTGGTCTTCATGACAGTGACAGTGGCAGTACAGGGTTGCTGGTGGGCAGATGGCCCACAGCTGGGGCCATCCTTTGTGTCTGGTGACCAGATGAGTGTGGATTGCAGCAGGAGCACCCCGTGTCTGTTGCGTGCTTGGTGACATTTGCATCAGTTGGTTGAGGGGTGTATTTTGTTTCTGGTGGCCATGCATGCGGCTCTGCCCTATGCTTTTGAGGGAGGAGAAGCCCTTTTCCTGGGGTTGCCCTCTCTAGGTGGCAGGCTCCTTAGTCAAGGGCCTCATGGCCAACTGGTGGTGTCAGAAGTAGGGCCAGCTGCCCTCTCTGGAGAGTTGTGCTGGTTACTTTGCCGCGGGGCACTCTGGTCCTCGCTGGTGAGAAGCCCTTTCTTTGGCATTGTCTGCCTTCCTCCTCATGTGCTCCTGTAGGGGACATCATGGTAGCCCGTCGAGGCCTGGAGGTTGTGATTTGGCTGCAAATGCCACTTCCCGGGGTGCCTTGCCTGTGCTTCCTGTGTGCCTGTCCACACATCAGACCTGTGTCCCCTGCCACCCCAGTCCTCTAGCCTGTCCCACTGTGGCCCTCTAGCCTGTCCCACTGTGTCCACCAGTGCTCCCAGCCCTGCGCATGTGGCCTCCCTCCCTCCCAACCCTGCTGCTCTCTGTCCTGCAGTGGCCATCAACCTCATCGTGCAGCACATCCAGGACATCCTCAACGGAGGGCCTTCCAAGCGGCAGACCAATGGCTGCCTCAACGGCTACACCCCTTCACGCAAGAGGCAGCCATCCGAGTCCAGCAGCCGGCCGCATTGACCCTGGTTCTGCAGACCTGCCCGCCTCCGAGACACCGCTCACCTGTACACACCGTCTCCTCTGACATCGCTGTATTTAGGAAAACACCTTGGGGATGAAATGCCTTTGATTATTTTCTTTTTCCTGTTTATACTTCGGAACGGCGAAATCCAACAGAACTTGACCTGAGCTTAAGCAAAAAACCGTGCCAACGTCTCCTGGTGATGCCTGATTATGAATCCAACGTGTAACCAATTATAAATACATACATAGAGAGAGATATATATAAAAGGATCTATTTTTGTGTAAATGTACAAATACTGTACAGCTCTTTGCCGTAAGTATTTTACAGGGGCCTGGCTTGTGTATGTGGGGCCTGGAGCTGCAGCTGTGTTGTGGGGAGTGGGCCGGCTGATGCCCCTTGGCTTGGCATCCAGGAGCTCGGCAGGAGCGGGATCGAAGCCTGATGGCCTCCTGTGCGATGCCCTTAGGAGGTGAAGCTTGGGTGCTTGAAGGAGGGACTTGTGTCCTCCTTTGTGTGAATTAGTGAGCTCTCAACTTAGAATCGGTCCCAGGGGAGGGGACAGATCTGCAGAGGCTGCTGGCCCTGCCCCACCTCTGGTTGCTGGCCAGTTCTTTCTGGCCTCCCCAGGAAGCCAGAGCCACAGGGCTTGGTGGTCACTTCCAAGTGATAAGTCGGGAGGGAGGGAGTGCAGTTGAGTCTCCGGCCTGTCTTCGAGGACGTGCTGGTTCTCAGGTGTGGCATTCCTTGGCATTTCTGTCTCTGCAATGTCATGCAGCCGAGCTCCCGGGCCCTGGGGATGAGCTGCCCACATGAGGGACTTTTGTTGGACGTGATGGGGGGGATATGCAGTGAGGGGGCTAGTGTGCCCAGGTCGGGGATCTGGCCAGCCCTGGCAGGACAGGAGGGGGCTTCCTAGGCAGACTGCAGAGGAGGTGCTTTAAAGGAGCATATTTAAATCATGGCACGAAGCTGGAGTCCAGGTGGAGAGCACTGGGTGCTGATCCCTTTCCCACGGGCAGCCTCTTGGTGGAGACCTTGTGGGGAGGAAGTGTGCATTCTAACGCACTGGCAGGAGGCGGAGGAGCTGGGGGCCCCGCGGGATCAGGTGGGTGTGAGTGAGGAGTCCGGTGCCCCAGTTTCCACCTGCAGAAGAGCCAGGGCTCGCCACACGGGGGCCACCCTGTTGGTGCTTGGCAGGCCATCCCTCGGTCACCCCGCTGTGGCTGCCGAGCCGACATGGCAGAGCCTTCTCCCTCTGCGGCTCTTGGCCTCTTGAGCCTTCAGGGCAGTCTGCCTCCTTACTCTAGCCACCCGCTTCCCTCTGGCTCCGCTCGCACTCCATCGGCCCTCCAGTCTGGTTGCCATCTGCTGCCCCCGAGGTCCCCAGGAGGCCATGCAGGCTGGGAGGGAAGCTCGAGGGCTCCGCGTGGCTCTGAGGTGGGTCCTCAGCGAGTGGCTGCGCTGGAGAGTGCTTCAGGGCCAGATTCGCCTCTCCACAGTCATGGCTGGTGCAGGGTGGGTGGCAGGCTGGGTTAGCATCCCGAGGATGTGGCCCCCAGCCCTGCTGGGCCCGCCCAGGCTCAGTCGGAGCCCGTCCTGCAGGGAGCCTCAGCCTTCAGAGGCCAGCGCCCAGCATGCTGACGTTACTTGACGCTCCCAGGTGCCAAACCATTTAGTGCCTTGGCCATGTATCCCACTGCCCGAGGGCCGGTTCTCCTCCTCAGAGCCCTCACTTACTGAGCCGCTTCCTCATCTACCTGTGGTGTTGGGACCAACCTCCAGGGTCTCTGAGCCACCCACTCCCAGCCTGGGCACAGTCAAGGGCTGCCCTGTCCCCTCATGAAATGATCACAAGTCCTCACAGCTCGGCCAGAGGCCCTGGGCAGTGCTTGCTTGGGGTTGGACACACTGCCTGGGACAGGAGGGGGATGGCAGGGGGAGGGTCCACCCTCTGTGGCAACCCAGCCTCCAGCCTCCTGTGTGTCGGATTTGAGCTTCCTGTAAGACAAACCAGGTCTGGATTTTTAAGTCTCTGGATGTCCGATACAACTGGAGAGTCATTAGACCGCAGGCCTCAGGGTCTGTCCCCTGGCACTCTGGGCTGTGGTGGAGGAGGCATGGGTGAGCAGAGCAGGCAGTGTCACAGGAGGAGGCAGTGTCACACGGGAGGCCGGGCCTCATCCACACCAGTGCAGCTCCAGCTGGGCACGTTCCTTCCTGGGCAGCTGAGACTGGTGTAGGGAAGACAGGCATCTGAGGAGGGCACGTGTTGTGGCCTCAGGTGTCCTTTGATTTGGAGCGGGAAGGGAAGGCCCCAAGAGCAGCCATAGGTCCCACAGAGGACCTACACAGACAGGCCAGGGAGGGGTGGGGAGTCCCTGGTTTTCCTGTCCCCAGGAATCCAGACGTTCAGCGTTGGCCCCACTTAGCCATCGTGGGCAGCCTGACTCCTGCTGCTCCTGGGCTGGGGACTGGGCTTGTTGCCGTGCCCAGGTAGGTTGCCAGTCCCCTGCCCTGGAGTCTCCCAGGTACCTGTCCCAGGTCTGGATGTAGGATACCCTTTTCTCAGGGGGAGCGGGCAAACATACTTGGTGTCACATTGAGAGAGTGCACAGGCCAGGAAAGGCACGTTTAAGAGCCCTGGAGCTCAGAGCCCCTTTAGGCTTCTGTCCCTGGGCGTCCCTCCTGTACTGGGTGTGGTGACTGGGTTAGGGTCAGGGTCTGCAGCTCTGGGGCAGCGAGTGGCTCAGAGACTTCAGCTTTCCTTCCCTTGGAGATGCTTGCTTCCCCTTTATTGTTGGTGGCCACAGAAAATATGTACTTTGCTGTAAATAAAGACTGAATGAAAAGACCCCACTCTGGCCTTGTTCATGGTGTCCGGTCAGAAGAGCCTGTGGGTGCCGGCTGGGACGGCCGGGCCCCGCCGTTGCAGAGGAGCTGTGTTCTGGGGTGCAGGAGCCCCGGCTGAGCATGTGCTCCTGTAGGAACGGCAGGCTTGCCCCACTAGTCATGCAGAAAGCCCAGGCTTCGGGGGGCCTGGTGTCTCCCGTTAGGCAGACTCACTGCTGAGGGGCGCGCCGCGGGTGAGGAGAGGCACCTTGACTGTGCAGAGGGCTCACGTGGGCCACAGGAGCTTACCCCACTATGGAGTGAGCGTGAGCCTGTCCTTGTTTGCAGCAGACCCAGGTCACCTGCCACTCTAGCCCCCGCCTCCTGGATCCCAGTGACACCCTACCTATCCCTGTCTCCTGGTCTCCCAATGACACCCTAGCCCCCGTCTCCTGGTCTCCCAGTGGCACCCAAGCCCCCCTCTTCTGGTCTCCCAGTGACACCCTTCCTCACCCCCGACTCCTGGCTCCCAGTGACACCCTACCTAGCTCCCGTCTCCTGGTCTCTCAGTGACACCCTACCTCACCCCTGTATCCTGGCTCCCAGTGACACCCGGCCTAGCCCCCCTCTCCTGGTCTCCCAGTGAACACCCGACCTAGTCATTAGGACACATCTCCTGGTCTCCCAGTGACACCCGACATAGCCCCCTGTCTCTTGGTCTCCCAGTGACACCCGACCTAGCCCCCCTCTCCTGGTCTCCCAGTGACACCCTACCTCACCCCTGACTCCTGGCTCCCAGTGACACCTGACCTAGCCCCCGTCTCTTGGCTCCCAGTGACACCCTAGCCCCTGTCTCCTGGTCTCCCAGTGACACCCGGCCTAGCCCTCCTCTCCTGGTCTCCCAGTGACACCCTAGCCCCCGTCTCCTGGTCTCCCAGTGACACCCGACCTAGCCCCCGTATCCTGGCTCCCAGTGACACCCGACCTAGCCCCTGTCTCCTGGTCTCCCAGTGACACCCTACCTCACCCCCGTCTCCTGGTCTCCCAGTGACACCTGACATAGCCCCCTGTCTCCTGGGTCTCCCAGTGACACCCGACCTAGCTCCCGTCTCCTGGCTCCCAGTGACACCCTACCTCACCCCTGTATCCTGGCTCCCAGTGACACCCGACATAGCCCCCCTATCTCCTGGGTCTCCCAGTGACACCCGACCTAGCCCCCCTCTCCTGGTCTCCCAGTGATACCCGACCTAGCCCCCGTCTCCTGGTCTCCCAGTGACACCCGACATAGCCCCCTGTCTCTTGGTCTCCCAGTGACACCCGACCTAGCCCCCGTTTCCTGGCTCCCAGTGACACCCGACCTAGCCCCTGTCTCCTGGTCTCCCAGTGACACCCTACCTCACCCCCGTCTCCTGGTCTCCCAGTGACACCCGACATAGCCCCCTGTATCCTGGCTCCCAGTGACACCCCAGCCCCCCTCTCCTGGTCTCCCAGTGACACCCTACCTCACCCCCGACTCCTGGTCTCCCAGTGACACCCGACTAGCCCCCGTCTCTTGGCTCCCAGTGACACCCTAGTCCTGTCTCCTGGTCTCCCAGTGACACCCTACCTCACCCCCGTCTCTTGGCTCCCAGTGACACCCGACCTAGCCCCCTTCTCCTGGTCTCCCAGTGACGCCCGACCTATCTCTGTCTCCTGGGCTCCCTGTGATCCTCATTAATGAGCATAGTGATCTGCTGCCTCTGGCCACTGGCACTCCTGTGACTCATGTCATCCCATCTGGGACTTCAGCAGGACCGACCGGGCTGGTTGCAGTGTTTCAAATGCCTCTGTCCATCACCAAGCTGGACGGCCGCCTCCTGGCTCACCTGTGCCGTGGGCAGAGGCCCTGCACGCCAGTGCTGGCTGTGGTTCGGGTCTCCCCACCCGAGTACCACCCAGGGATGCCTTGAGTGGGTCAGCTGTCCTCCCCATCACAGGTGCTTGCCTGGCCCAGTAGGGCTGCTTCAGTGCAGGCCAGCCGAGGCACGGACTCCTTCCTGTTAAGATTTGCCTCAAGGTCAGAGAGGGGAGGGGACGCAGGGTGGGGGGAGTCAGCTCTGAGAGAACAGAGCCAGAGAGGCGGGTCTCGGTTGTTTGGTGCAGGGGGATGTTCAGACTTTTGTTCTGAAGCAGCCATCAATGATGTCTGGGCTGGGGGTGTAGCTTAGTGTCAGGGCACCTGCGGGCCAAGCGCGGGCCTGGGGTTCTACCCCAGCACTGAAAACAAGCAATTCTGAGCCCAGGATGAAGTGAAGCCACCAGCTAGATTGTGGGTGTGGCTGTTAATGTGGGTGCATATATATGTCAACCAAAATAAGAGCCACGTGAGTGAGCGCTAAACCCAGACTTCTGTTCTTATCAGATGGCGGGGAGGCGAGGGGCAGGTGAGGGCAGGACGCTGGGACAGACCAGCTCATTTCTGCGCAGCCTGTGCTGTGTCCTTTCCTAGGAGGGCTGTGGGGCTGGGTCTCCTGGTGCCTCTGGGGTGTTGCCTAGAGTGGACTGTGCGGCCTTCAGGCAGCCATGCAGTCCAGCCTGAGCCTGGTCCAGGGAGACCAGCTGGCCTCTGCCTCCCAGCTCACCAGGTGGCTAGTGGTGGGTGTGCATCCTGCCAGGGCCAGGCCTCCGTCTGTCTCTGAGCTGCTGGCCTCAGTGTGGTGCTCACGTTTGACCACTGCGCTTGTCACGCTGCCTCTGGCCACTGAGGGTATTTAAGGAATGTGGCCGCGCTCCTGTTCCCAGGGGGAAGCTGATTCAGCTCCGAGCTGCGGGAAGGGGCCCGGAGGTTGTCTGGGGCGTGTCTGCCATCTAGTGGTGGGCCCGGGTTGCCTTGGGTGCTGGACTGCGTCCATCTCTTGGCCACCATGGCTTCCAAGAGTGGACCTAGTGCCCTCCAAGTCTCCTGCTGGACAGGGCTGGACTTTGCCAGGGTGAACAAGGCTGACTCTCCCTCGCTGCAAGCTTGGGTGGCTCCGTCCCACCAGCTTGCAGTCTCTGGGGGCTTGTTAGGGGTCTCGCTGGGATCCGATCCTGACGGTGCTGCTTCTGCAGGCCTAGGGAGGGAACCCTGCCTATCAGCTGTCCCGTGAGGCTGGGGTCGGAGCCAGGGACCTCGTGGATCTGACCACGTGCACCTTGGATCTGCGGTGTGCCCAGTACCCGCAACCCTACTGCTCCGAGTGCCCTGCTGCTGTCCGAGGCAACTTGCTGCTGGGCGTCCTCAAGCCCATTTGTGGCTGGCTCAGTGGCCTCGACAGACCCCACAGGAGCTGCCTGTTGCTTTGCTGGGATGTGTAGGGCGTCTGGAGCTGGGCGGGTCTCTAGCCGACCGTGGCCTTCAGTGTACCTGCCGTGGGGCCCTCACAGAATCCTGCCTGAATCTCCAGGCAGAAAACAGAAGGGGCCCACAAAGCTGGCAAGGGTCCTGAGCTCTGCAGGCCCAGGGCCCTCATTCCACAGGCCAGAACAGGCCCAGTCACAGTCACTGTGTCCGGTCCTACCAATGGGCTCTGGGTCTGCAGTGGTTGATCACACTCTGGGGAGAGAACTGGAACTGAACACCTTTGAAAAGTGCATTCAGCAGTCAGTGTTGGTGTGTGCTGTAGGGGTCCCTCCATCTGCTAAGGGTGTCCATGTTGGTAGCCTGTCTGGGAAATAGCACTGGCCCTAAGCGGACCTTGCTCCCTCTCTTGGCAGCATGGGCCTTGGCAGGCTGTTTGGCTTCAGCATCTACACCTATGGCTTTAGGGTCCCCCCCTGTGCCCCCCACTTTGCCTGCAGTACTGGGTGAGAGTGTGGGGGTGAGTGGCAGGCCTGCTCCTGGACGTGAGTTGCTCTCCAGGTGGCAGTGCCCATGCTCCAAGGGTACCCTAGTGACAGTTGTGGTGAGGCTGCGTGGCTTGGGGAAGAGTCCCTTGGAGGCCCACCACCCACCTGTTTCCGAGCCTGTTCCCTCCTGGTGCCCACCCCCAGGTGGGGCTCTGAGTGAAGGTGGTTCCCGGGTGGAGCAGGGAAGGACGTTGTGGAGCCATGACAGTGGGCTCTCCCACTTATTGGTGTGTGAGGCCACAGGGGTGAGATACTGTGTCCTCCCGTTCCACAGCAGCCTGCCTGGGGTAGACCACGGAGGGCACGGCCCTACAGGAGGGCAGCCTGCGCCCTGCCTGGAGCCATGTGCCTGCTGCTTGTGACGTGCCAGCACCCAGGCTGCAGAGGCCACACCTTCCTCCGTAGGCTGCAATCGGTTTATTTTTGGTGCCACAGGCCCCTCTGGTCTGCAGAGGGACCCTTCCCAGACTAATGTCTCTACCTTCCTGAAGGAGCTTCACAGGGCCAGAGGAACCCGTGGTCATAGAACCCCGCTGCGTGTCCGCGGCAGGAGTACAGACGTTGCCTAGGAACACACCACGTCTAAGTCCAGTCACCAGCTCAGCATGTGTTGGGTCTGAGCCTCAGTGACACTTGGGAATCTGCAGTGACACACTCAGCTGATGTCCCTGTGATTCTCTTGCCTCTGACAGTCACCGTGGAAGGAATGCTGGTAAAAATGAATGGGTCATTTTTCAAGTTCAGGGGCCCCCTGAGTCCTGCTGAGGGCCTCTGCCCTTAACCTCTGATCAGGAACCCTGACCTGCATCCCCAGCCAGCCCAGGTGACCAGGGTTGGCCCCAGGCGCTCCCCTTTTTGCTTGCCCTGCGTGAACCCCCAGTGTGTAGGCTCCTGGAGGGACCCTGTGCCTGGCGGTAGCAGCCACAGGGACCACAGAGGGAACTTAGTGTTCTCGGAACTACCTTTAAAGAGTCAAGTTAACGTGAACTTATAAAATGTATCCAAAATACTATCAGCAGGACCCGAGCAGTTAACTCTTGGGGCATCTGTGTGTGTGCCACCTGGCGTCTCGCACCCACTGCTCGGGGAGCTTGGACCACGGCTCAAGGGCTCAATGGCCACGTGTGGGTAGCTGTCATTGGCAGCATGGCTCACATGTG